CCCCTCCACAGCCTCCTTCATATCAGCGTCGTAGACGAGGATGTCCCAGCTGCCAAGAAGCCGATCAAGGGGACAGCTGTTCCCATCGTTTCAGATGCGGCAGCAGTGAGCATTTCGCAAAGGGCTGCAGAAAGCAGGTAAACGGCAACAGGGTGCCCCAACGGGACATGGAGCACCCAAACCAACCCCGTCCCGGTAATCAATAAATGCCTTCCACGCCTCAAGGAATGGGAAAAGAGTTGCACAACTGGTGGGTAATAAATGTAATCTCACATGCAACATCGGGGGAGAGAAAAGACGGAAGCGCTATGGGATACAGGAGCGCAAGTTTCGGTAATGTCTCAAGAATGGCTACAGCAGCATCACCCGCAGGAGAAGATACAACCTATTGCAAGCTTATTCCCTGACAGCCCACTACACCTGACTGCAGCCAACAACACAACCATACCCTTCCTTGGATATGTGGAGTTATGCGTGTCTTTGAACAGTCCAAGAAAGGCAGAAATCATAGTACCTTTCCTCGTGATCACATCCAGCACAAATAGCCACATCATACTTGGGTACAACGTGATTGCAGAAGTTGTTACCAACTCCCACACATTAACCAAAGATGTTATTGCACTCCTAGCTGCAGTACTTCCAGTGAAATCCGAAAGGAGAACACGGTGCATTCCCCCCGGTACCTCTGCCATCACCTGCAAGATTCACGCCGGATGTTTACAAGGTATCACCGCCCTGCTAGAACCAGCCTTGGACCCTTCACTGCTTGAATCGTTGGAAGTGCAACCCGCTGTTGTGGAGATAGGAAATGGCAAGTTCAGCAACGTCAAGGTTATGGTGACCAACAATACCAAAGAAAATGTCTTCCTTCCCAAGCAGACTGTAATTGCTTCACTGGAGCCAATCGCTGACCTTGAACCCATCCCACCTAACGACGACGCAACAGTTGGTGAAGTCAAGGCCACGAGTGCTGACTGTGACTGGCTCTCAAACTTCCAACTTGATCATCTATCTTCCACCCAAAAGGCCACTGTACTGGAAATGCCGAGAGGAGAAAAAGATGCATTTTGGATGAAGATATTGGAAAGATAAGTGATCACATGAAAATCAACCTCTCAGATCAAGTCCCAGTGCAGAAAAACGTACATGTCAATCCCCCGCCTCCTCCTTCGTGGAGTAAAGGACTACATCCAGGGTTTGTTGAGAAGGGAATAGATACGGAAGTCGTCATCCCCTTACTCCTCCCCAGTGGTGTGTGTCAGAAAACGTTATGGATCATTACGACTATGCATAGATTATCGGGCACTAAATGCAAAGACGATTCCAGATAGACAACCCATCCCCCGGGTACAAGATGTCCTTGACAGCCTTGGAGGAAAACAGTGGTTCTCCACCCTCGATCAAGGAAAGGCGTACCACTAAGGATTTGTTTCCGAAGAATGTAAGCACATGACAGCCTTCGTCACTACATGGGGTTTGTATTATGGGAATCGGATCCCATTTGGCCTTACAAATCTTCCGGCAGTCTTTCAAAGATGTATGGAGAGTTGTCTGGAGGAGCTCACTGGTGACATATGCCATGTCTACCTCGATGATGTACTGGTCTACAGTCCAAAGTTTAACGACCATGTCCAGCACCTGCAACAAGTCCTACAGAGATTGAAAGAAAAGGGAATAAAACTCAAGCCAGCCAAATGCCGCTTCTTTGAGAAGGAGGTGAAGTACCTAGGTAGAATTGTGTCTGCTGAAGGTCACCGCTCAGACCCATCTGATGTTGAGGCTGTAGAGGCTCTTCGGGAAAAGACTCCCAAGACTGTTGGTGAGCTGAGACGGGTACTAGGACTCCTGGGGTACTACCGAAAGTATATCCCAGACTTCTCAAAGAAAGCTGGACCACTGTATAACCTCCTTGCCATCTCACCAGGATACAAGCCAGCCAAGAAGGGAAAGGGGAAGAAAAGTGACCATACATGGGTTGCTAAACCTATCACGCACACAGATGAACGACAACGCGTGTGTGTCGATGTACATATAGTAAATTTAATTGTCCCCTCAATCGTTATTGAAATATTAATCCGAATACACTTCATGACCCCATCCACAGACGCTACAAGGCTCAAAAAATGATTAGTCATCAATACGGTACGCTCCGATACATTTCCATAATTTCTTAGATCGGGCGCTAGATGGCGCTAGTGTAAAACAGCGCCGCCATAGTGGACGTCATAAACTGTATTTGCACCCCAATGTATTTTATCTACTATTATTTATCAGATATCATTATATTATATCACTATTCATTCACTAAGTCTTATAGTATTTACTTGGTCTGTTATTACAACAACAAATCGTGGGCGCTGCCATTATGGTGAAATGGAGCACCGTGATTGGTTCAAGCTTCACATAGAGCACTGTGATTGGTTAAAGCTTCGCATACAGCCATCTATTGGCAGAATTTTACTTTTTCGGAAAATTCCAATTTTCAAAAGTCTATTATAGTCCGAGAGCCAAACCCTGATTTTGGGCGGGAACTCTGCACTGAGAGTTAAAGTTTTTTTCTTTGCTGATTCTTGTAGACTAGGTGTTGGTCTACACTTTCTAGGTGGATGACCACCCGTCACCCTTGAGCAATTTTCTGTATTAACCCTTTTGTGTTGAGAGCGTCAACTCAAAAATTGGCGAAAAATTAGGGGTGGGAAAAACAAAAAGTCTACTAGATCTGTTGTTTTTAAAGCTAATGGATCATGTGATTACTCAAAATGATGGTATTTAAGAGCTCTTTCTAATGATAGTTGAATAATGAGGTCACTAGAGGTCAAAAGGTCACTAATTTTTGACCTTCGAAATCTTGAATATTGCTTTTAGCACCCCTGCTTTGGCCAAGAACAGGCTCTAATGGTGCTTTTTACCCCTAAATTTGTTCAAGGAGATGCCCTGCTATCGTTTTAAACCACCCATGTTCAAATATGTTGAATGTTGACCAACCTATTACAAAAGAAAGACAAGTGATGTGCTAAAATAGCTGTTTTTATTACCCAAAAGTTGATAACGCTTACAGTAATCAGATCTGTCGATCTAGAGCAACCATTGCTCCACCACATATTGCAATGGGGAAAGTCAAGAGGCTTAGTCCTAGATTGTGGCATATTTTGCCAAACTTACAGGGTCAAAGGTCATACAAGTACACAGTTAACTGCAGTCAGTTGTTTCGATGAACTGACTGGCATCATTTTAAATAACCAGCCCCATAGGTAGCTCCATTATATTTTCCGGACCCCCTGGACCCCCCCCTGTACACGCCCCTGCAAGCCACCCCATCACATCGACGAAAGATCACCAAACTATCCTGAACGGCTTGATAGACAACCTGGTACAGGCCTGGTAATTTATTGCATAATGGAAAGCAACCAACGAAACAGGAGAGGAGACGCCAACCCAGAGAGGCTGTCAAAATTCTTCGGGAATGGAAGAAACGGATAATAGATGATGATGGACTCCTTCGCCAAAAGACTGCCACCTACAACCAACTCGTCCTGCCGGCTCAATATAAACAACTTGTTTACACAGAGCTTCACAACCATATGGGACATTTGGGCCCTGACAAAGTCGTCCACCTGGCCCGTGAAAGGTTCTACTGGTCAAACATGGAAACCGACATCACCCATTACATCACCCAACAGTGTCCCTGTCTAAAGCAGAAGAAACCCCAAAAAGTGATCAGAGCTCCCCTGGTCCGTATCTCAACCACACAACCCTTTGAGCTGGTATCCATCGATTTCGTCCACTTAGAGCGTAGTAAAGGAGGGTACGAGTATATTCTTGTGGTGATGGACCACTTCACTCGGTTTGCCCAGGCCTACCCAACAAGGAACAAGAGTGGACGAACAGCGGCTGATATCATCTTCAACAACTACTGCTTGAAGTACGGCTTCCCCCAACGACTCCACCATGACCAAGGCAGGGAGTTCGAAAACCACCTGTTCCGATGTCTACAAAAACACTCAGGCATTTCCCATTCCCGGACAACCCCATATCACCCTCAGGGAAATGGCCAGGTTGAGAGGTTCAACAGCACATTGTTAGGAATGTTGCGGACCATTGCGGAAGAACCGAAAAGTGATTGGAGGGCTTCGGTTGACAAGATGGTACATGCCTACAATTGTACTAGGAATGAATCAACTGGATACTCACCATTCTACTTACTGTTTGGCCGGCATCCACGCCTCCCCATAGACCTTGCCTTCGGACTGGATAAGGAGCAGAACACACCAACGCAAACTCGAGAGGATTATGTCTTACGCTGGAAGCAGCAGATGGAACAAGCGTATGACATTGCAACCAAGAACATGGGTCAAACAGCAGACCCAAGGAAACAAATATATGACAAAAGGGTGAAAACTGCAGCAGTGTCGCCTGGAGATCGTGTTCTGATCCGAAATATGCAACGAACCAAGGGACCAGCTAAACTGAAAGCATACTGGGAGAACCGAGTATATCGTGTGGTAAAACAGATGGGAGACGACTTGCCTGTGTACATCGTAAGACCAGAAAGTCCCCCAGAGAAAGAGTGAGTCCTCCATCGAAACATATTGCTCCCTTGTGATCTCCTCAAAAACTGTAAAACCAAGCCGGAAGTGGAGAAAGACCAAGATAGCCCACGCCAAGACCCACGATTCACGAAAAACTCTCAGCAGCGTCAAAGACACGTCCTTAGGGAAGACATGCCCCCGGCAGAGCAAGATGGAGACGAGAGCGATAAAGAAATAGAATTCGTCACTGTCCCATCTGAGCCCGAGGTGCAGCATGACAGTTTCCAGTTTCGCCCTGAAATAAGTGTCCCTTGTGAAGATGACCCCACACAACCCATGCCCCATGTTGGAATGCAAAACCAAAATGACCTGCCTCTACCTGATGCTCCAGAGGTCTTAGGGGAAGTAGAATGCCCTACACCAGAGCAAGAAGTACAGTCAGATGGTCATGATGATGGCATGAATGATGCTCTAGCTTTTAAAGCACGACCACAGCGAACCAGACGTCGACTCTCCCGTTTCACATATGACCAAGTTGGGCAACCATCCTTTCACCCCCTGCAAGGAGATGTGAGAACAATCTAACAAACCTCTGAGTTTGATCATCCTTCTTCACCCTATTTTACACCTCGACAATTAGTACCTCTAAATAACTCTTACCACATGCCTTACCAACCTCCCCAGAGTCACCCTATACAAATGTCCCCGCTAACTTCCCACCTTACTCTCATCACCAAGTCACCCAGCCACCAGGTGCAGATGCCAATGGATGGACTCCTCAGATGAATACATGGCCGTTTGCGATGGGACCTCCGTACACAGCTAGACATGGAGGACCCCAGATGTGGCCGCCAGCAAGTGATGGACGTGGAGCGTGGCCGCCTTTCAACGCTGGACGACAGGTTTTGGCTCAGAATTAAGTAAAATTATGGACTATATATGTAGGTCTTGAATAGCTTAATTTGAGCTAGGGAAAATAATCATAACTGTTTTATTTACTTGCTTCCTGCACGATTATGATTAAAATTGGCGGAGAATTTAATGTAGGAGTTAGTTGGGAAAAATTCATGGCGCCGTGTTAGAGGGAAGCTGGGGAATAAACAGGGTAATGACACCCTAAATAACGCTTGTTGATTTGGTTAGAGTACAATGCACCACCAGCATCCAAATGAGGAACTTCACTCAGAGGAATTGCCACAAGTCTATCCTTCTCGTCATATGATGATGTCAAATTTTGTTACAATTTAAGGTCTTATTGACTGCAAATTTGATCGTTAAAGGACTGCGCAACCATTAATGTCTCCATTCGTCAATATTGTACAACAGTTTAAATTAATGAAAGGATAGGACTGATCAAATGAAGCATGTAAATAGAGTTTTGGGCCCATTCTGAAAAGATGATTTGCGTTGTGTTGTTTGAATGTCGAGGACGACATCTTTTCTGGTGGAGAAGAGTGTAATCCTGATCAAACATATTTGTTTGTTTTGTCTGTTTGATTATGCCCCCCCCCATTTTTGTTTTATTCAATGCAATTGGAAAATAACCTAACCAAAAGATATAACTACTATTTGAGCATACATGTACCAAAATATAGCCCCTCACAAGTATCTAGCTAAATTTGCACCTCTTGAGGAGCTTCAACTCACCCCCAGGAAAATAGAAGAGTCCGGAGACTCGAAATGAGAGAACAATGAGTAGGGTGTGATTGTGGCCATTTCACATGCTGACGCCTTTTTCACAACCAACTAATTGTGTTCTTCTCATCTTTTCTCATTTTAGGTAAGCTTCTTTTATGATTATGAATGTTTTGGTTATAGTGACAATTATGAAAGTAATAGATTGTGGCCATTCCACATGCTGACACCATTTTCACAACCAACTAATTGTGTTCTTCGCATCTTTTAACATTTTAGCCCCCCTGTACCCGTATAGAGGCGTTACATATATATATATATATATATATATAT